TTGGTGCATGTCAGAGCGTCTGTTTATTTCTTAAGCCACACAGTTTGTGGTCAGTTGCAGGCATACAGCCTCTGTGTGTGTGCATGTGTGCAGCAGGGTTGTTTATGTGCTTGTTCTAATAGATCAACTGCTGAGCAAGAGCATTCGCTATGGAAATATTCTGTTTTTATCATTACATGAAGTAGAAGTGCAGGAAAAGCTGCAGTGCAGCTGGGTGCCCTCGTGCTCGGCCTCAGGTTGGTTTCAGTGGCTTCTATCTGTCTTTTAGGGCCACTTATGTTTTGGAAGCCTGTTGCTATGCAGTAATGCCTGCATTCAAAGCCTACACAGTACAAATACTGTTGCAGATGAAAGGATCTGAAATGGAGGAAATACATAGGAGTAATATTTCTCATTTTTAGACAGTTGTAATATTGTTAGAAGATTATTCGACCTCTTTCTAAACAGAGCTGCCAATTATAAGCAATATTATTAAAGGGACCATATCATATTACTGCTTTTTTTACAATAAAGGGATTACATTTCCAGGCCTATTACATACTAAGGCTTATTATTCAGTAACTACAGGGACTTCAGTGCAAACTGGCTGAGCTATTCTTCGGTTACAGAAAAGTGTAGTAAAACTTTGGGCCTGTTGGTGGGCCCTGGCCACTTAAGAGGTTAAAATAGTGTGGAAACATTGTAAAGGCTCATAACACACCGCTCACTCTGTCCATATATGGAAACAAAGCTGCAAAAACAGTCTGTTTGCAATTCGTTGTGTCTGTGATGTCAGAAGAACCCACTCGTTTATATATATCCACCAATTCAGCCAAGCAGTTTAGCCTCGGCCATTCACAAACAGCATAACTAGCAGTCCAGGCTGAAACACTCCTTGTAACTTCAGCATGTCATTTTCACGACATTACAAAAACAATGAATTCAACTTGGGCATTTTTGGGGCTTAGTCTTCATATATGGACTGCAGAATTAATAGTTTAACAATGTTTACATATGACATCAAACTCTAATTAAAAAAAAAAAGAAAAAAGAAGGAAAAGATGGTTTTCATGACATGGGACCTTCAAAAAGAATGGTTCAGAGGAAGTGAAATGCCAGTGCACTCAGATCGTTGATAAGATCACTTTGAATAAGGAAACATTAATGCAGATAAGTTGAATCTTTTTAGAGTCTTATTGCAACTTCAAGTTGAGAAATATTAAATATATTGCCCACACGTAAGATGCTTTCACTTGCTAAGCTGTCATTTTTTTTTTCCAGTGTATGTCATGAGACACCGGGTTTAATAGTATCAGCATTAATCAGCAAGCTACTGCCGGAAAGTGGTTTGTTACGCTGGCGAAATTACTGACAGCTGGCGCTTTTACATCCCCTGTAATGTTTTGAGCAGGGGGGGATGCGGCTGAACTGCAAACCCAATTCAAACTGAACTACTTTGAATTGACAACAATAAATTTGAGGGAAAGAAATAATAGTTGAACTCCTTTAAACTCAACTTAAATGCTACACTCTTAAAATGAGATGGTTCTTCCAGGGCTCTTTAGTTAAGAAAATGGTTCTATATAGAACCACGGACACTCAAAGAACCCTTGCATGGTTAAATGGTTCTTTACATCATGAAAGACTTCTTCAAATAGCTGGAGAATGTGCTGTAGATGGTTCTAGATAGCACCTTTTAGAAAAGGGATCTATATAGCACCAAACAGTACTCTTCTATTGTTGCAATGTCAAGCTTGTCACAACAGAAGAACCCTTTTTGATGCTACATAGAACCTTTTCCATAAAGGTTCTATGTAGAACCATATGCAACACGATCTCCATCAATCTGAACTTTTTTATGCTGCAAAGAACCCTTTAATCATGCAAAGGGTTCTTTGAGTGTCCATGATTCTATATAGAACCATCGTCTTTGCTGAAGAACCATCTATTTGAGTGTAGCAGTTGTTCAATCTGCTAGCTAATTTAAGATTAGATAAGTAAGCCTCAAGATTAAATAAGTAGCTTGACCAAATGTGCTAACATTAGTAGAAGCTACTAACCACCAGTTCACATGATCTCATTTGCGTAAGGCTAATTGGTTGTGTTTCATTTTCCTTTTTAGTTACCATCATAAGCATTTGTTGACTGAACAACACAAAAACTGAAGAATAATCCTGTAGTTTAAAGCTCTTCCTTCAAAATCTCTGCATAATTCACTCAGTGCAATGTAAACAAACTCATTCAGAGTGGTTTGATGAGAAATACCTTTTACAGTGGTGGTTATGGGAACCAGGGGTCACGACATATATTACAGGGTCTTTCAACCACTGGGCTGGGGACCACAAGTGGGCCACGAAGCACCCCTTGGTGGTCCTTGGACCTATACTGAAGGGGGCCAGTGGACTGTAATGGGCCTGTGGTGGCACTTTGCCATAAAATCAGTGAAAAAAAAAAATGACTTAACAATAAAAAATATATATAAAAAGTTTGACAGTTAACAACATTAATACAAGCCCCACAATAACAGTGCACAAAGGCCGCTTCATCACTCACACCAATATTCTGCTGATATTTCATGTTCATGGATACACATCAAATATTGCAAAAGTAGGCCCAACGTATTACTGTGGTGAGAATTTCCCAAAAATTACATTTTTAAGCAAAAAGGTCGAGCTCTGTTTTCTTTTGGGCCTTCCTGCTTTCTAGTGTTAAACAGGTGGTGAAGTGTGTGTGTTTTAGAGTGTAGGTGCGCTGGTGCAATGTGGCTATTTTTCCTTTGTTTTTTATCATTTATGTGTATGTTTTGATGTTCTGTGCAGGCTCATGAGTTCATATCATGTATCACATCACACACAACCAGATGTACAAAAGGTCATATACTATGTTAATAATGACCTTTAAACTCATGTATTCAAGCTTGAACACTTGCGATCAGATTTCTCTTTCCAATGTTGGGGACTCAAATAGATCTCTTTTTACAGAATGTTTACTGGTAATGTGTATTTGACTAGATTTTCTTACAGAGTGCCAAAACTGTGAAAAAAATAAGGTCTTGAGGGTGGAAAAGGTTGAGAACCTCTGGTCTACAACACCAATGATACACCATTGGTTACCATTGACAATGGTAAAACTGTGATAGTTTGGAACTATTTTGCCTTACAACGCCCAATATGTTCCCCTCCACTGGGAATGGGATTAGAAAATATGCATTTTAGACTAAGATTATGTGAAAACTATCGAAAAATAATGTCTCAGGCATCAGGCAGCATTTTCATAACCATTTCGTGTAATTACATCTTGTGATGGAGAATTCATCAAACGTCTATTAGGGGTGGGCAATGTGACGATATTTTATCATTATTGTGATGAATTATGTCACAATGTGCTTTTCTGTGGATATCGTCAGTACATAAAGAACACTGAATAACTACATTTCATCACAAAGTGAGCATAATTAGGCCTGTTTAATTGGATTTAGTGCAGTGCAGTTTGTAAAACAAAGTAGAAACCTTTGCAATTGTAGGTTTATTGTTTTTATTGTTGTTTAAGTACTTTTATATGTGGCACTACAGGTTCTATTTTGTCTATTCCAACTTAAATCTCACAAAAAAAAATATCGCAATGTATATCGGGTATTGTGAAAATGTCTTGAAGTATCGTGATATACTGTGACAATATCACCCACCCCTGGTTCCTATCATCACCACTGTGAACAACTCTGACTCTGTAACTTTCTCTAGAACTGAACATTTCACACCAAACCACTCTGAATTACTTTGGTCACATCTTAAACGTTTAATTATGCAGAAATGTTGAAAAATCAGGGAAGTTTCCCTTTAAGGCATTAATGTACAAGACAAATTCATGTCTGAAAGAGCTCATCTCATCATTTTTTATTTACAATTTGACTTCATAAGATTATAGGAGACGCAATAGATATATCAGTACTCTATTGATTACAAATAAAACATACAGTACAGTTATAGTGAAGATATCCAAGACTGGTACACTATGACTTTAAGTCTTTAAGACAGCAGAAACACAACTCACACTTAGGTCTACTTCCCTCTACAGTGAGACCTCTGTCTTCCGGTGATTGGGCGAACCTCGCCAAGACATACACATACAGACTGTTTAGAAAGGGCCATATGGCCATTCACTTGACTGAATGGAGCGCTGAGAAAAACTGCTGCCATATGAAATCAATGACCTCGTTCTCTGCCTCTCTCTCTCTCTCTCTCTCTCTCTCTCTTGTTCTCGCTGATGCACATAGATTAACATGTAATTGGCAGAGCATTTTTTTGTCTATAGCCTCTTGTTGGTTGCTGTTAATGAGTGTTTTCACAGTGGACACACTGTTTACAAGCAAGGTATGCAATTCTACTTTTGGCCTACAGAGGACACCAGAGTCCCATAGAAGACTATGCAATCGTTAAACTTTGACTCTTAACTGGTTTGTTTTTTGTTTTTATCAACCATTATATTAATACCAAGAAGAGAAAGGATGACAAGAAGACCACATTTCATACAGTTTAAAAGCTCAGAATGCCGTACAGTGCTGTGCAAAAGTCAGAGACCACTCTTCATTTACTTAATTTCCCATCAAACAGCCATTAAGTGCAGGTTATTGATCTTTCAGGAGATTTATCTGAAGAGATTAAGTATAAGATAATCCACTTACAGAGAAAATTGGAAAGACAAAGAAAAATACGTGCAAAAAAGAAGTTTTACCTATTTATTTTTTAATTATCAAAATAAATAGAGAAAATGGGGCTCCTGACAACCGTTAGGCCTTGTAGGCCACCAAAAGCTTCCAGCTTTAAGTGACTGAAGCACCACTCTTGCTTTCACTGTGAGAAGACAACTCAGCGCTATGGGTCTGAAAGGATGTGTAGCTGTTAAGAAGCCCTCACTGAGAAAAGGAGACGGACACATCAAACAAAGAAGCTGAACAGTAGACTGACCACCCCAGAGTCCAGAGCTCAACATCACTAAATGTGTTTGGGACTACTTGGACTGTGAAAGCAGAAAATTCAACCAACTTTTAACACTGAACTTTGGAGGTGTAGAAAAATATCTCTGCAGATTACTTTGAAATGTTTAAACAAATATGCAAAAAGAATTCAAGCTGAAATAACTCTGTAACTCTTGCACAGTACCATACATTGTCACAATGGCAATCAAATGACTTCAATGGCTTCAAACTGCCTCACTGGCCCTCTCCTGCGGTCAGTCCTCCTCACACAAATTAAGCTCTGCTTTGGCTGAAGCCCAGTGGGGATTCACTCCTTATTCTAAACCTATTGCTCAGAAATTGGCCCTCCAGTTGATTTAAAAAGCTGCTAATTTGTAACACAATGCTGAAAGAGCTCTAAAGAAAACTCAGCGGTGCTTCACAAACTGCAACTGTGGCTTTGTGATGTGGCTTCCATTTTCAGACCTCTGTCGTGCCACCCCCTCAGCTGTTGCAGGTTCATGACAGTTATTTAAAAAAACAAGATGTCCACTACTCTCAGATGCGGCTTTCGCAGGAACCCAGGCCTTGTCCGTTACGCGGTTGTGTAACAAGTGCTTGTGTAAAATGCCCAAGAAGAAAAAAGAGAGCCGCTGTTTCTACATACAGGTTACAGCGAAGTGTCTGATGACTGACAGGGTTCTGCAGTTTTACCAAAGGACGGAAATAACCTGTTGATCTCGCAAGTCTCCATAAACCTTTTCCTGAACGCCTTGCACAGGAAGAAGTAGATCAAGGGGTCCAAGCATACGTTTGTCGACGAGAGCCACAGGGTGAGGTCCTTAACGACTTTCAGTATGGGTCTGGTGCAAGAGCCCTTGTCGTTGACCTGTGCCTTGGTGTACGGTTGCCGCACGATGTAGTAAGGTGCGTAGCAGATCAGGAAAACCAAAAGAATCAGAAAAACCCGAACCTTGGCTTTACGCTTCCCCTGATCATTGCTGCTGCGTGACCTCCGATACGATTCCACCACTTTCTTGGTGATGCACATGTAGCTTAAGATGATCACAATACACGCCGTCCAGAAAATAATGGAGGCGAACCATACGACGACATCATGCCACATTATTCCGATATCACTTTTCATGCGCATACAAAGCTCTGATTTGTTTGTATTGTTCCTTAAATGGTCTTGGTCTGTCGTAATAATAACTGGCAAGGTATTCATGCTGATTAGCAGCAGCCAGATGACAACCGACAGGACTTTGCTGAAACGCAGGTTCTGGCACAGAAGTCTCCCTCCAGGCCGCACGATCTTGAAGAAGCGGTCCAGGCTGATGAGGCCCATCAAGATGATGCTCATGTTCATGGCCAGGTAGAAGAAGACATGCGAGTAGCGGCAGGCGAAAGCTTGCAGTCTGTCCGTGATGCCTGGCAGTTCGCTAGCAGCCCGGACGGGGAAGGTCAGGGTCATCAGGAGATCGGCCACCACCAGGTGCTTCAGGTAGACCATGAAGGTGGTCTTGGACTTCAAGTGCACAGAAATCCAAGCCACCAGCAGGTTGAGCAGAAGAGCAGGGAGAAAAAGCAGGAAATAGAGGCTGGAGATGGCTATGGCCCTCGCTCGATTGTCAACGCCACAGTCGAGGGGGGTGTTGTTACCCTCCATCAAGCCTGAAATGAATTTAAGGAGAGTAAACTTTTAAGAGTCAGAGAATTCACAATGTACCGATGCTTTCACTGACTAAAACTGAGGAGGACAGTATGAGCACCAGTCTCCTTCTTACGGAACACATTTCTCCTTTTTGAGTACTCAGTTCCTCATTTTAGAAAAAGGAATCTTAAAAAGTGAATCAATATAAAGCATGAAAGTAAAATCTTGTTAAAAATATGACGAAAGCTTAGGGCTTTTGACTAACTATACCGCGAGTTTCAAATGGCTCTGTCTCGCAAGTTTGTGGTTTGGTGCCTAGTTTTGATGAGCAACACAACAAATAAACAATGCCAAATGCAGCTGAGTGATTTTCAGGAAATGCTTCACTGTTATTAAAAATATTCCAGTAACAATATATGTATACAAATACAACAGAAGTGAATACAGCCCGAAAATGATCGATTCACTTCCTTTTTTTCATGAATAAGCATCATTTTACTATAACACTTACAAATGAGGCATGAATGCTGATGTACAAAGTGTAAAATGTGAGCTGTTATATTAAACAACTTCAGTATACACCACTGACTGTAACACCGCTGACAAAACAACAAAAAGTTGGAACTTCTCTGAAGTACATTCAACTGGCCCTTTGGTTTCAAAGTCATGTTGTGGGTAGAAACTTATGAACACTACATATGCTGACACAATCTTTTTGCAACACATGAAGCTGTCAGTGTTCAAGCTAAAGTGAAATACAAAAAGATTTCACCGTGGACTTCTCAGAGTTCATCACGCCACTGACCAAAATAAATAAATAAATAAAATCTTAAAAACAAAGAACTGTTAAAGTGTTTTGATATTCAGTTTTGGTTAGTTATTTTAATCGTCTGGAAAAAATGAACCCCATTTGCCATTGCAATGGTAGAATGATCCATTATTGCCAAAACTAAGTTATATATATATATATATATATATATATATATATATATATATATATATATATATATATAAATAACTTAGTTTTGGCAATAATGGATCATTCTACCATTGCAATGGCAAATGGGGTTCATTTTTTCCAGACGATTAAAATATATATATAACTAATTATATATAATTTATATAATATGTTTAATTATGCACATTTGAATTCAGTACTTTCAGTGCATCACTGTTTCAGTCACTCTGTTATGTCCTGCTGTGTTACCACCTGTAAGCATTAACATAAACTTCAAAGCACTTTATGGGAATATCAAACATACCTAATATATCCAGTTAAATTTCGCCAAGAGGACCTAATAAAAGATGTTATTTGACATACCTCTGAGGATCCGACCGGAGCAAATTACAGTGCTGCGCTGACTGCTGCTGCGCCCTATCTGTCCATCTAACCACGCTTCCTGTAAAATAAGTGTGGTTAACACTAACAAAAAAAAAAAAAGAGGCACACACGTGGCAACTGCTCCATGGGTAGTATTATTAATCCTGGTTGGTACTAAATAATTTAGTGTTCATGTAGTGATATTTGACTTTTAATTTAGTTTTCTTCTTGGTAGCTGAGCTTACAGTAAGCCTAGCACTGCTGCGTGATCCCAGTCACACCAGTACTGATTATTCAGATAAAGTCTTCAAGCATATTCTGCACATCTGTAGGCCTGTGCACTGACGTCACATATCATACTGCATCTCAAGCACATTTTCTACAGTGCTGTGCAAAAGACCACCCCTCATTTATTTCCAGTCAAATCGGCCATTAAGTACAAGTTACTAATTTTTCAGTGTCAGGGGAAAAAGCAGAAAACACACACACACACACATTATATATATATATATTTTGTATTTCTACAATTACAGACTGTAGTCCATCTGTTTCTCCGTATACTTTGTTTGCCCCCTTTTACCCTGTTCTTCAGTGGTCAGGACCCCCCATGGGCCCACCAGTGCTGCTGGAGTTTTTAAACACCTCAGTGTCACTGCTGGACTGAGAATAGTCCACCGACCAAAAATATCCAGCCAACAGCGTCCTGTGACCACTGATGAAGAGATGATGACCAACACAATCTGTGCAGCAGCAGATGAGCTATCGTCTCTGACTTTACATCTACAAGGTGGACTGACAAGGTAGGAGTGTCTAAAAGAGTGGACAGTGAGTGGACACAGTGTTTAAAAACTCCAGCAGCACTGCTACCACCACGTCAGTGTTACTGCAGTGCTGAGAATGATCCACCACCCAAATAGTACCTGCTCTGTGAGGGTCCATGGGGGGCCTAGTGCACCTATGTAGTAAGTGGAGCTGATAAAATGGACAGTGAGTGTAGAAACAAGGAGGTGGTCATAATGTTATGCATGATCTGTATATATACACTACATATATATAAATATATATATATATATATATTATATATATATTATGTGTGTGTGTGTGTGTATATATTTGATTAATATCTGACCAGTTGTACCACTCTGCAGTGACCGCACCTTTGGTCTAAAACTAGGACTGCTTAATATAAGATCTCTCACACCTAAAGCTATCATTGTTAATGAAATTATTACTGATCACGACTTTGATGCTCTGTGTCTAACAGAGACGTGGATTAGACCTGAAGAGTACTTGGCTTTAAATGACCACCCCGACAGGCTATAGCTATGTACATAGTCCTCGCTTATACGGTCGGGGTGGAGGCATAGCAACCATTTACACCAATACTTTAGGACTAAACCAGAAAGCAGACCGTAGTTTCTCTTCCTTTAAAATTCAGTTTCTCAATGTTAGCAATCGAGGAACAAATGAGAGCTCATTTTCGCTCATCATAATCTACAGGCCACCGGGGCCTTACTCTGAGTTTTTACAGGAATTTACTGACCTGTTATCTAGTTTAATAACAATCTCGAATAAAGTAATAATTGTTGGAGATTTTAATATCCACATAGACAAACTACAGGATCCGCTAAGTAAGGCATTTGTATCTATTTTAGACTGTTTTGGCTTCGCTCAAAATATTATGGGGCCTACTCATTACCGTAATCACACTCTAGACTTAATATTGACCTTAGGTATAGACATTAAGCATTTGGCCATCCTTCCTCAGACCACAGCAGTGTCAGATCACTACTTAATCTCATATGAAATCAGTTTTAGTCGTAGTATATGTCCATCCACACGCTATAGTGTTAAACGTACTATAACATCGTCTACACCCAATAGCTTTATTGAAAACCTTCTAGATCTTTCATCCTTAATTAGCTGTCTGTCTGAACCTAATGAATTAGATATGCTGACTAAATGTTTGGAAGACACTTTTCGCTCCACTCTAGATAATGTGGCTCCACTAAAAAGTAAAAGAATAAGGCAGAAAAGGCTCCATGGTACAATGACCATACTCGAGCTATGAAACAGACTGTTAGGCGATTAGAGTGTAAATGGCGTCAGACTAAACTTGAGGTTTTCCAATCTGCCTGGAAGGAGAGTCTTACAGACTATAGGAAAGCACTAAAGTCAGCACGTTCAGCCTGTCTCTCATCATTGATTGAAAATAACAAGAATAATCCTAGGCTACTATTAAGTACTATCTCTAAACTGACTAATAATCAAGCAGCTACTGAAGCCCAGATACCATCAGCATAGAGCAGCACTGACTTCATGAACTTCTTCAATAATAAAATTGAATTGATTAGGCACAAAATCCAAAATGCGCAGCATTGCAGTGCAGTGTCCTATAAACCTAATCTAGATCTAGAGTGCAGTATAACCACTACAGACACGCTGGAGTCTTTCACTTTACTCCAACAAACAGAGCTCGTCCAAATTATTTCATCTTCAAAAACAACAACTTGTATACTAGATCCTATTCCTACAGGTTTACTTAAAGACGTTTTGCCAGAAATAACCAAGCCTTTTCTATCTATAATAAACTCTTCCCTCAGCCTCAGGTAAAATCTCTTAAATTAGGTGTAATTAAACCCTTAATAAAGAAACCTAGTCTTGACCCCTCTGAGCTATCAAACTATAGACCTATTTCAAATCTTCCCTTTTTATCAAAAATCAATTATGTTCCCATCTGCATAGGAGTAATATACATCAAAAATTTCAGTCTGGCTTCAGGCCTCACCATAGTACCAAAACAGCGTTAGTGAAAATTGTAAATGATCTTTTATTATCCGCTGACAAAGGAAACATATCTTTACTGGTTTTACTCGATCTTAGTGCAGCTTTTGACACAATAGACCATTCCATTCTATTAGACAGGCTTGAGAAACTAGTAGGAGTGACAGGTAAAGCTCTTTCATGGTTCAAATCTTACCTTAGTGATCGCTTTGAGTTTGTTAATGTAAATGGTGAACCATCAGCTCTCACAAGAGTAAAGTATGGTGTTCCACAGGGCTCTGTCTTAGGACCCATATTATTTACCTTATATATGCTACCACTAGGTACCATCATTAGAAAACATGGCATCAGTTTCCACTGCTATGCCGATGATACACAATTGTATATTTCAGCTAAACCAGATGACAAAATCGAACTTAATAAGATAGAGGACTGTGTCAAAGATATTAAAGAATGGATGTCAAGTAACTTCCTCTTACCAAATTTGGACAAAACAGAAGTTCTTCTTCTTGGTCCAAAAGCTGCTAGGGATAATCTGCCTATGATTACTCTTAATCTCGATAGTTTCTCAATTGCACCAGGCACATCTGTAAAAAGCCTTGGTGTCACGATCGATCCCAGTCTGGCCTTCGATGAGCATATTACCAATATTACTGGAATAGCTTTCCTCCACCTGTAACATCGCTAAATTAAGAAATGCACTGCCGCTACAGGATGCAGAAACGTTAGTTCGCGCCTTCATCACGTCCAGGTTAGATTACTGTAATGCTCTGCTTTCTGGTTGTTCCAGCCAAAACCTTAACAAGCTTCAGTCCAGCCAGAGCTCTCAGCAAAACCAGGAAATTTGACCACATTAGCCCAATTTTGTGTAGCTTACATTGGTTGCCAGTTAAATTCCGCATTGAGTACAAAATTCTTTTACTGACATATAAAGCTTTGAATGGCCTTGCTCCTCAGTACCTCAGTGACCTTATTTCCTATTATCAACCGACACGCCCACTTAGATCACAAGGTGCTGCTCATTATTAATACTCAGAATAAATAAAGTTACGTCCAGGGGAGGGGCCTTTTCATACAACGCCCCCCAGCTTTGGAATAGCCTACCAGTCTGTGTTCGGGACTCAGACACAGCCTCCATCTTTAAGTCTAGGCTAAAAACTTACCTGTTTAGTCGAGCCTTTGGTTAATTAGTTTTCCTAACTATGTCCCTCTTATCCCCCCTACCCCCCTCTTTCTCTCTCCCCCTCTTTTTCCCTGAGCTGAGCAGCTGCCTGTCCTAAGAGGGTCTGACGTGACTGATGCGGCCGGCGCACTGCACAGTGGTGTAAAACTGTATCCACTTATACTGTTTTTTGTCTGTGCTGTTATCCGGTGTCGACCAGAGGAGGATGGGTTCCCCTATTTGAGTTTGGTTCCTCTCAAGGTTTCTTCCTCCTGTTGAGGGAGTTTTTCCTTGCCACTGTCACCAAGGCTTGCTCACTGGAGGCGTGGACCCGGATTCTTTGTAAAGCTGCTTTGTGACAACATCTGTTGTAAAAGGCGCTATATAAATAAATTTGACTTGAATTGATATATATATATATATATATATATATATATATATATATAAAGTATTTTGTGTGTCCACACTTTGCCTTCGGACTATTTTAAGGCACATGTGTCAGGCTCCAGTCCTCGCGGGCCAAAACACTGCAGACTTCAGCACACTGCCACACATTAAACACACTTGATTCACCTTCAGCTAACTGTCAAGGCCTTCAGGAACTGCATTTAGAGTGTTAGATGAGGGTAAACACTGATCTCCGCTGCACTTTGGCCCAGAAGATCCCAAGTTTGACATGTCTGTTTTAAGAAGACTTGCTTTTAGTTTTTCAAAAAAATCTGCAGGGAAATTTGTCAACACCGCTGAAATTCAGGTTCTCAGATGCTCACAATCTAAGTACTGCCAAACCCATTTAGTGGTGTTAAGATCAGGACTCTTGATTTTCTCCTCTCTCTCAAAGATGAAAGGTTTAAGTGCTGTTAATCTGATGGGGACAGTTTTGGTGGTCTACTGGGTCGTGCAGGTGGTTGTGGCTTTTATCCTCAATTTTTTTTTTGTTTTCGAACTTCATCTTTCAAATCTCATGTTTCTTCAGTTATTTTCTTTTGACTTGCAAGTGCATTATCTCATACTTAATCTGTTCAGAAATACTTGTACATGATGACCATTTTGACTGGATAGTAAATGAATTAAGGGTGGTCTCTGGCTTTTGCACATTCACTTATACATTTTAA